ATAGCGGCGATCGGCGAAGAAAAAAAAGGAGAGGTACACATTTTTATATGTGTGTAGAAATTATTGCAGTATATCTAATACTCAATGATGCGGTTTAGTTTTAAATGTGCTCATGAAAGTGCGGTCATTAATGTTATATTATATTGAACAGCGAATCGATGGTAGGGATGTATCAAGAGTGTTCTCTGTTGGCATAGTTGACGAGCATCAATTAGGTCGATGATTGCGCGGGCTATTATAAATGTATGGAGGGGAATAGAAGACGAAATAAACCTCCATTAAAAGACGCTAGATGATGCGATCGTTGCGGTATTTTTTCTACTTATTTATCAATTTTTATGGACCGACCGCCACAAAAAAAGAATAAATCAGAGAAATCTTTTGTACTTGCACACCATCATGATCATGGAGCCGCTAGGAAACGCGACCTAAAAAAAAAACTACAAACTTCCCGTCACGCGTGCCAAAAATACTGTAAATATGTAAAACAGGTCATTTGGCGCTATATCGTAATTTCGAGTCGAGGGAATCGCACGAGAAAGAGAAAGGAAATAGCCATAAGAGAAATAACCGCAACGCGTGCACAGCCTTTGTACACCCTCTTTCTAAAATGTTCAGCACAATGTATCGTTTTCCCTAGACGGGTTAAAAATAAAATCAGAACATAATTACAAGAAAATAAAACTACACGAGTTTTTTTAACTTCTCCGTTGACGTCGTAAAATTTTTGGCAAGGTATACACAAATTTGTTCGTCTCTATTTAATAATTGTGGTTATTTTCAAAAGTTATGGAAGCTGTTATAACTAACAGTACAACGTAATAACGTCAATACATGCGATAATATCAAAATTATATACGTTATGTTAGGTCAGTAACAGGTAAAATGAAATTATACTTAAACGATTAACAAAAAAAAAAAAAATGTCATGATATTCGTAATAAATCTCGCGGTCACGTGCTCCGTAGAGGAAGTAAGGTTACAGTAATTAGTAATGATTTTTAAATATTCAGCTAATCGTGGAAAGAAACATATTGCACATTACACAGCACACAATTAAAGACTCAAAGCTTAGCCGAGCGTTTACAATATCTATGGCGGTTTTTAATCAAAGTTAGCCGAAACTCAAGCTCCAATAAACAGATGTAGCCGTCGGCAGTATTTTAAGTGAACATTTATTATTGGGCCTGTCGTCATACTTAAAAGCCCAAGGTTTGTGCTAAATTATAGTACATTGGCCACGTGCAACACGTCATTGTAATAACTCTTTAATTTAATTCATTATTGCTGAGTTTCCCCATTACGACTCAGAATCGGGTACTTACGTTTCCTAACTTCTCTAATTATATTGGGTCATCTAATATGTGCAAATCTATACAGTTAATATGTTGACTTATTTTAGTATATAGAAATAACCTAATTATTAAGGATTAAAAAAATAAAATTTTGCATCATCTTTTTATCTGACTACTTTTATTGCTAGACGTCACAATTATCGACTAAAGAATACTATTTGATCGAATAACACCCAAACTTTTTGATATTATATATATATTGTAATGAAAACACTCGTTGAAAAAACTTTACATAATTTTATGAGGTTGGTTTTGTTTAAAAAAAATAAAAGAAACAATTCTAAATATTAGATTGGTTGGAGACTTAATGGTTTCAATCGCAAATTATATTGCTAAAACCTTACGTTTTTATGAATTGTTCGTTTTTGCTCGTTAACTAATTTTTGATAAATTATATAGACAAAAAATGCTTTTTATTGCATTGCTACGAGTGAATATTTAATTCACTAGAAAAAAGGACAAACTCAATAGTTTTATTTACAAACTTTTCTTATAAGAATAACAAAAACACACAAGATCTCACAAAATTGAAAAATATATACAGTTTTTTATTATTTTCATGGAATCAATATTAAGTAACTGAAAATCAGTGGGGCACACTTGACAAAATTACTTGTGAAATATTTCACCTATACATAGTGCTGCCAATCCTTACTGGCCTCGTGTCGCAGAAAATTATCGACCTAACCCCTCCTTGTTACATCTTCTTGATCGTTTCCAGGGTACTTGATGTCTGAATATAATAGATTCCAACGTGAGTAACGTGAACGGACGACAAAACCAATTTTTCAGAAAATAGACAAGGCGACAATAGTTGTATGTGTATGCGCACTACACATTTTCAAGTATATATTACATTTCATCGTACAAGTGTATGTATATTGTACATCTACAATATATATTGTACTTGCTATGCCGATGTGGCGAACAATGTGAAGGAGAAGGCTCACAGCGACGTCATATTATTATTATTATTGTTGTTTTTATACATATATATCAGAAAATTCAACGTCTAACACATAATGCATTGTACATTTGGTGTGTATATAATAGCTGATGTCGATGCAAAAGATCACAGAACTCGTTCAAGGCCAATATCACCTAAGCGACATGCGGCTATTTAGTATAAGTTTTTATTTTATGAGATTGTATGCTTATGTGTTATATATATATATATATATATATATATATATAATACATTGCAATTGAGATTGTAACGATTTCCTGCACGCAAAAATTATATAATCAAAAGAGATCACTCGAATGTCATTATAGTATATTTGCTGCTGTTAGCGTTATCGACAAAAATTCAAGAGAAATTTTCACATGCTTTCTTGTATTGAACAGTTTTAGGACAAAAAAGCTCTTTATAAATAAATATAAGTTTATATTATTGTTCTTGCTCTCATTTAATTATCACTTTTTTATTTATCTACTATTAATCAGTAGCATATTTAGAAATTTTGTACGGGCGGAGTCAAAATAGCTTTTAGAACATAGAGCAGTGAGGAGATTCATTCTGATTATGATTGTATGGCCATGAGGGTTCTAACCCCCTGTGGACACGTCACTGATATTATTAATGAAATATTATAATACAAAGTATTTAATTCATGAAAAACAATCATTTGAGCCAACAATGACGTGCGCTGCTAAAATTATTAGCGCATGACTATATTATCGTGCAATTAGAATCGGATCAAAATTAGTTACATTTACGAACAAAAACTATATCGATTTGTCCAACTCAATCATTTGCATACCGATTAATTGCGTACCTAATATTATGTCTTTATCGTAAATAAACGAGAAAAAACTTGTTGATTGCATATGGGGGAGGTGTTACACTTGGGAAGAAAAAGAAAGCGTTTATTTTTTATCTTCCGTCGACCAGATTTCCTTGACATGAAACCAGATTTCCAGAATCTGATTCGCACTCACGTGCAAGCACCGCCGTTGTCGCTGTATGACAACCTATTTTCGATTATGCAAAATGTGAAAAAAAAAATTAATAACTTTCGGTCGCATGTTCTTATCTGATCGATCGTATTAACATGCACTGCGTACATTGTAGTTTATTAATATCATTACTTGCCGCAAAAAACGACGTTCACAACAAAATCTATACGTCTAACTGCGCTATTTTTTCCTAATATAACACAACATGATTTCAGCCCATCTGTTCGCTTTTGCGGTACACACTCGTCGACTATGTCAGCAAATAATTACGTTAAATTTTTTTTTATATTTAATTTACTATTGTCAAAACATCTTTCACGCGATCAAAAAAATAACTTGTTTACCTCTTGGCACTATGCTCGTCGCAGACGTTTTGCAATCAATAAGAACACCGATAATGAAAGTACAATTTTTCCTTTCCACTAATAATGTCTGTGTTGTATTAAAAAATAGCTAAAATTACATGAACCGCCCCCGGTGTAGTTCGATGAAAAAAAGTGGCAACAGACACACAAAAAAAAANACACAAAAAAAAAAAAAAAAAAACACATCATGGTAAAATTAATACCTTCTCAGCTTCGCATCGAAGCTAAAAGTCCAATATAGTGTTGATTCGTTGTCCTAGTCAAAGTTATATTATTATATGCGATAACAGTGCAGTAATTGAGTACAATTATGTTTCAATTCTGTTTCTGCGTTGAATGTCTGCCAATAGTTATGGAGGTTATTAATCCGCTTTGACACACACTCATAAAAAATTAGACGGTGTTCAAACAAAGCGCTTATAAATTTGTATAGATATTATCAAAAACTCCCGTAATATTTTAGATTCATTTAAAAGAATACATATATGTGTTTAGGGGGGAAATTACATCAGTCCATTTCTGTAAATTTTTCAGTAGAGCAAAAGTTAAGTTATAAATTATTATATTTTTGGTGATAAAACAATAAATATTAAATATTTATTAACACTTAAATATTAGATAAATGAAAACATTTTTCATCAAATTGATTATTCATTACTCGACACCATTGCTAGTAAGCTATCGAATCAAAGCATAAAATTGAAAAAATGGACTTTAACCGTCTTTGCCCTGTACCTTTCGTATTATAACTATTGCGTTTTCTGTAAATATTTTTTTCTCGCGTTTTTTTATGTTAAATAGGTAAAATTCCGTTATAGTCTGTTGACATAATCAAGTGCCGTCTTATGCAACCGGGTCTCGTCGGGGTTAAAGATTTAATCTGTATACATAAATACTATTATACATAACAGAATCGGTTCGAATACTTTAGCGGCACGTTTTAACCGTACATCGTCTGTCTATACTGTGTTCTTTTTTTACAATACTGTATTATTATAACACTCTTTTTAACAATTCCGGGTCTAGCACGGCCTAGAGGTCCGGTTTTTTTTTAGTATTTTACGATTATATTTCAATGAATGGCTGTCTCTTCCAACACATATTATAATATTATTGTATGTATATGTGCTGTAATCGTCGTTATGTACCATCTATAACAATACCCGTTCGTTAAGTGCGCCGAGTGTTTTTTTATTGTCTGCAACACACGCGTAAATGAATATGAAGAAAAATAATTTTAATAACCATGTAAAATGTACACTACCTTTTAATAAGGGTCGCATTGAGGTAATTAATATTTACAAATTTTTGTATTTTTCAGGTGAGAGCTTAAAAGTCCCGTTCATTTCTCACGGTAAAGTTCACTTTATACATTTAGATTTAACACATTTCAAACCCCAGAAAAACTATGTCATTCGCATAGCATGTAGTTCGAATCGATAAATTCAACAACTGTAATTATTTTGCCTAAAGATAGGGAAGACCATCAGGGAATTGAGGTTTTCGCATTGTTATCTTAAAAACGCTTGTTGATCGGTTCAGCCGATTGCGCAGAAAGTTTTATTCTTATATTCTAAGCAATTACACAGCCTGTCAATACATAGTTCTATTAGAGCAGTTTATCTTTTGCACTATTACACGTTATTTGAAAAGAATATTGTTCAAAGGCATATTTATTTCACTATGTCACAAAATTAATTGTTGCGAATTATGAGACCGAATATTAGATAAATATTTAATATTTAACAAAACTAATTTATTGTATAAATTATTAAATATTAATAGGCGTTCATATTCCTTTAATTTTAACCATAATATACAGGGTGGCCCACCACTCACTGACAACTTAAATAACTTTTGATTCAGTTAATATTTTTAGCTGATTTTTTTTTTAAATAATAGTTATACGTTAGGTCTATAGCTATATCTCAATAATTAATTTTTTTACATTTTATTAAAAATATTAATTATTTATAAATTTTAAATAAAATGTAAAAAAAAAATCTAAGATAGCTATTTCGTAGAGTAGAATTTAAGAAAAATTTTAGTAAAAAAATATCTTATTAATATTCAATAGTAAATATTCTGTAGCGTTTTGAAGTTTGTGAAAATTTGAATTTTCATGTATTATTTTACGGTATTAAACATTGAAATACGTATTGAGAAAAGGACAGAAGAAAACGCTATCTTTTCATGATTACTGTGTATACATATGATGATAATGTGTATACATTACAAACTTGGCATTAATACCATGATAAGAAATTAGATAAGGCAATTATTACTTATCACTCTCATTCAAAAGTATATTGAAAAGATAGCGTTTTCTTCTGTCCTTTTCTCAATACGTATTTCAATGTTTAATACCGTAAAATAGTACATGAAAATTCAAATTTTCACAAACTTCAAAACGCTACAGAATATTTACTACTGAATATTAATAAGATATTTTTTTACTAAAATTTTTCTTAAATTCTACTCTACAAAATAGCTATCTTAGATTTTTTTTTTACATTTTATTTAAAATTTAAAAATAATTAATATTTTTAATAAAATGTAAAAAAATTAATTATTGAGATATAGCTATAGACCTAACGTATAACTATTATTTAAAAAAAAAATCAGCTAAAAATATTAACTGGATCAAAAGTTATTTAAGTTGTCAGTGAGTGGTGGGCCACCCTGTATATTTTTTAGTTTTTTTATGATATAGTTTTTTAAATACGTTTGACCGACTCCAAGTTGTTGGGATTAAGGTGAGGAAAAAGAATAAGTTTTGTAAATACATTGTTAAGGTTCTTGTAAAAAAAAATTAATTAAAATATTAACATTTCTAAATCATTTGACGATTTTAATTCCTAAACTTCCCCTGTTATTTTTATTTTGAAATGATAGCTAGTATTTGTTCAATTATACACACCGCGCCAATATTTAAACAATTTTAGTGAAGATGTTTAAATTTCTAATAACGTGACTGCCGTTCTCACTGTCTCCTCTAAACTGTTTAATAAATCACAAAAATTATCTGTATACAATTCTCGATATTAATAAAACTTGTATTTTTTTGTTCTATTTATAATCCCATGTTTCAAAATTATTGTTTTCTTAAATTCTTATTTTTTATTTTGTTTTTTCGGTTTTATTTGCTATAACGAAATGTGAACAAGTTCCGTCATTGTTAAATGCAAAACTACTGTATGGCATGTATATCAGTACTGTAGCAGACATTTAAATAGATACACAAACACATTTAGTCGCATCAACTAAATGTGCGTACTTTTCGGCACATCTGGTAATGGCGTGTCCCATTATTACGCTATACGTTTCTATGATCCGATTCGCCAACCTCGTGTACACGTTCCCTACCGTGATGATCTTAAAGTAATTATTATTAACATAACCAAAAAAAAAAGGGTTAAAAGAGATCTAGTTTGTTTTGTATAAGTTGTAACAACACACGAGAAGCTTTTTCTCCCTTTCTTTTTTTTTTGTGTATACAGTTAAATAGTAATTGAAGACAAACCCCTGTGACTTATATTATAGTACGCGATAATCTCCCGACTATGTGTATGAATAAAAGGGTACAAATACGTGTGCTACAATACAACGTCCGTACCTGTTAACTATACTGCAGCGAAGGAAAAACACCTTACGCCGCATAAAATTTTATTATATTATGAAAATAATCGTTGTTTGCCGGAAGAAGAAACACACCCGGTTGATAAGGCGGGGGCGGCAGGAAGAGAGACCGGTTTTTATTCCATTCCGTTCATCGTGTCTTTTAAAAAATCTATACACTGAATGATAATGAGTGCTCGGTGTACATTTAATTAGTTGTCGCGAAGTAGGGTGGCCATCGGCTACCTCCTCCTCGCTCTAGTACAATAATTCTGAGAACGACCGTAGAAATAATTGTAATGTCAATTATTGTACGCTTACAAAAAAACAAAATGAAGTCCGATATTTGCCACGCGTTTATTCAGCCGTTGTTATATTTTTGCCGCAATTAAAAACACACATAGTAGCAACACAACACGTAAAAATACAACTATATGAAATGGAGGCCTGCAAACGATTTTTTTGTATACACTTGCAAATTTATGTCTACCAGTCAACCTAATTATAAAGTATTGAAATAAGACATCAGAAAAACTTATAAAAAATCGTATCGGGAGTAGGAGAAAATTATTGTTAATACACTGAAAAGCATTAAAAAAATCATTGAAAAACTGTAATTATTCTTAATTGATAAAATTGATTTATTTATTTTAATTAATTGTGTCGAGTGGTATGGTTAACGTTGGTTGAAAAATTATTTATGTAACTGCGAACAGAGGGGTGTACAATAAAAATTCTTTTAAACAGTTGCATTGCGTGTGTACGATACCGTACGCACGATAATTTGTGACCGATGACGGTACAACACTGAGCCACGGGGGGGAAACGCGCCGGTCGCCTATGTGGTGCCTGTATGCCGACGGTTGCCCGTGGTCTGTGCTTCTCATATTCCGGCGCTGGCTCATCGACGACGGGTACCTACCGGCCGGTCGGTCATGTGTTGCAGTACACGGTGAATACTCACGTCGGGTGCTCGAAGCGAACGTAGTAGTTGTTGAATTTTTTTTTATACGTTTTATACTAGTTTTCGACAACGAATTATTATTATTTTTTTAATCGGAAATTTTTACACGGAATGTTAAAAATTTCATTTTAAGAATTTTACACGTTTATAAATGATTAATGTTAGTCCATCAATTTTATGACGAATTTGTGACACCGAACAACAGTGATTAGCGCTCGTCTGCGATTTTTCTGCACGCCGAATATTATATACTTTGGATACTATTTTTGTTTTGTTTTTGCGGACTTGTTTATTTTGATTTAAAAACCGTACCGTATTATCGATACTGATCACGATGATCAGTGAAATCGAGCCGAAACCGTTGGACTTGCGGGTGAAATGTGAGGCCACGGACGAGGCGACCAATTCTGAGTCGGACGACGCCGAAGACATCAAGCCCATCTACAAGGGTTACAAAAAATGCATTATCAAGCAGTTCCGTAAGTCGATAATTTTTATTGAGTTTGTACCGCCGAATATTGTCATTTCTGTCGGATATTGAGTCTCTATACCTGTTACCCCTACGCCGGTCTCTCCTGCTGCAGTCCCGATGAGATGCTTACATTTAATAATATGATAAAAGGATGAAAACGCAAAATTCTTCCTTTTGTAGGGAGAAAGGCGAACCTGTTAAAGTGGGTCAATCGTGCGCGCACCCTCTTCGGGTTTTTGTGCAAAATCATTTCCTTCACATCTGCTTCTTTCTTCTTTTGTACATTATTTTCTTTCTCTCGAACTCTAGTGCATTTATACATTTTTTTTTTTACCAAAAACACCTTTTTTTGGTATAAACCCATCGTCACCGCTATCATCCGTTCTATTTTACCCCATCATCGCCATTTAAGGGTTCTCACATAGATTACGTATTTTCTTTATTTGTTGTGTACTCCTTATTGACTGGTTTGCCTCCTCCAAGTGTTTTCGCACCGATTATATTCTTTAGTGTTGTTGGACCCACGCCAGCAAAATTTTATTATTAAATTATGAAAAACCAATAATACAACGACAAATTTCTGAGGTCAACGATGATGTTTTTTTTAACATTAAAATATGCGTCACGAGAGCGATGTATAAAATTATTCAAATAAAATTCGAGTTAAATGTATAATCGAAATTCTATACTTTTTTTAATTTTTATTATATGAATGATATAATAATAATAATTGTATCATATTCGTTTAGTGTAATTAAAAAGCGGCGTGGACTATGCCCAAATACATTTATTGTAATTTGATTTGACCCATTTTGTATGTAAATCGTAAATCGGTAGCTAATAAATGCGGCCATCATTATAATAATAGTACAAAAATCATTTCCGTCTAGAAGACCCGCTGCAGTCGTCCCGAAATAGTGAAAGTACGCTGTGACGGCAATGGATAGGCACATGATGTATTATACGATATAGCGTTGCTAGGTGCGCGCAGTAGAGGAGGCAGTAGCGACGACGGGTGGAGAGAAATCGCTGTGGCTGCGGCCTTGAACAGGCAGGCGGGAGGCGAGCGAGAAAGTTCACGGCCAGTGCGTCCGACCAGGCGTCTTCGTGTCCGTCCAGGAAGTGATCAATCGCCCGGAAATAGGTCATGAGCGCCCTCTTGGTTTTTTTTTTTATTATAAAATACACACGTACACGTCCGTCTCGGTGTTACGATTTTCTTTTTGATATTATTTTCTCCTTATGACTTATTCGACCGTCGTTAAAAAGAGCCGTGCGATTTCCGGTAAACAAAAAAACTACTGTCGAATTCAACCGGACAATAATGAAACATGTAATTTCATATGCGACTTTAACACGCCTCTTAATTTTGTATTACTTCATTTCCTACTAGCCCCCTCTCCCCATAATTACGTACAATAGTACGTTTTAAATAATAATACCAAACATTATTACAATCAAGTACATTGAATTTTACGTTCTTTCGCTTTAACAAATAATGTTTTCCACTCAATGAACTTTTCAAGTTGTTTTTCGCCATTGCCGGTATCAAGTTACACTATCAGTTACGATTCATAACCATGAAAACAATATAATGACGTTTGTGTAGTGCAAGTTCAAACACTAAACCCGTGGAAAATACCATAAGCTATAGGAGTAATAAGTGTATTAATAACTAATAAAGTTATTCTGTCTGGTTGTTTTGCGCAAAGACTGATTTCAAAGGGCTTCGGTTTAAGGAGCTTACAGTGTGAACCGATACGGTGGCGGAGGGGAACAGGATGGAAGGCCGTACAACGACCGAGACCTTTTCGGCAGAGCTGAACGGCTGCGCTCAAAGCAGTACGCCGAACGTGTACGACTCGTGGCAAACGTAAAAGTGCCACCCATTTGCTGTTCTCGCTAAGACGGCGGCGAAGGTAGCGCCCGCTAGGCGCCCGTTCCGCACAGTCTATCGCCGGCCACCACCCCCAACCGCCTTTATTATTACACATGTATTAAGATCGATCAGCCAAGCTCTTCTATTTCCAACCGAGTTTTTAACAAAGAAAACGTAGAATAATAGGATGTGATAAGCCATGTCTAACTAATTTTTCGGTGTCGATGTTACGCTTTTCTTTATAGAGTTAACTAGAACAAGTTTGTTAAATTGTTCATTGTTTTTCTACCGTATGATCATTGTTTTTCGACTGAATGTCAACAAGCGGTTTTGGTTATTTGTATTAAAAACCGCTAGTTATAAAATAAGACGTACGTGTGAATGTAGTTACCGATTACTGGAAATTTCTCACAGGCACCGGTTGAATATAATTTGGGTAGACGGCAGGGTTGAAGTGCTGCACGCGCTGCCGGTAAAGTCAGCTGTGTATCGATTGCCGGCCGGCGTAAAAGCGAACGTGCGGCCCACCTACCACCGTCGGCCTTGCAACTCTTGGATCAGTGACAGGCGGTTACAAGGGGTGACGCGAGCACAACCACCATCTTTCCGGCGGGTTGTTTGACCCGTTGATATAGGACGAGGGCGGCGTGTAGCCTTGAGACTAGCGTCTGCCGCCGCGTCGCCCGCACTTTACTTCACCTCCCGTTTATCCTACACCCACACATCAGTTGGTGAAAGTCTCTCCGGGCTATCGCACCTCGCTTGCTCGCACACACACACCATATCATAAACACACACATACGCATGATGGCTGTGTAAGTATTGCAAAACGCGCGTGCTGTGACCTTTCGGAGAAATACACTCATATATAATATATAAGAGTGTATTTCTTGTTATACATATTTATGCGTAGAGAGAGAGAGAGATAGATGTATATAAAGCATATACATGCGGTGCTGGACGTGTCTATCCATAAGTTAAAGCTTTAATGACCAGCAGTAAATACAAAACCAAAATTTTGTTAGCGCCGAGGCGGAATCGAATACAACCGTATAATCGACAGACATTCTTATATAACGACAGCAATAAAAAGAAAAAAAAATCGTATTAAAACAACTTTGTGCGGCGTACTTGGTAAATCAAATGTAATGAAATTGATGTAAATCGTGAACCAGCGGCGTGTCACAACGTCTCACACAAAAATCGATCTGCGAGTTTCGACCATTTGTTATATAACTAGGTCTCGACATATTTTATTTTTTGTTGTCTACTAAAAACGCAAATTGAAAAACAATTGGGTTAGTTAAATTCTACGGTATACAGTCAAAACTTTATGCGCTTTTTTTCTTTCTCTTTGAATGATTGCATAATAACAGTGCGATTGATCGTAAACACGATATCCTTTTTTTCCACCCGACCGTTTGAGGGCTATTTTGTAGAACGTGTAAATAGTACCGATATAACTATCATATTAGAACCACATCTTTGGGTTATCCTTTTTAACTTCAAGGCCGCCGCATCGCCTCCGACGTTGTTAAGATAAATTTTATTACTCTCCGGGGACATTTAACCGCAAAGGCCTGTAAATATATAGGTCACTATATTAGGCCGACACGCGGCGGGTGACAATAATAATTGATCACATCCCTTTTTTCCCTTATTCCTTTACACATAAGAATCTTATCATCAAATACTCGTTTGTTCCGGATAATTTAACGGTGCATTATACTAGTTAACAGTCTGCTCTATACATATTCCTTAATATTGGAATAAACACTTACACCGTGATACTATTCTAACCCTTTTCAATCTTCTTGTCCATTGTACCAGTGCTCGTGACCTGATTCCCTCGACGACAACAGTTGGTCACGGTTTTTTTATACTTATTTTTTTTTCGGTCGTCTAAGGGTTTGACCTAGTTTTTTTTACGATAGTGTCAGTAATAACGACGTTACACCCGCACGTTTATTTTCAGTGAAGACTTCCCGTCACATTGTTTACCCGATGCCAAAATACGCTGACCCGATTATAATCCTTAAAAAATATGTATACATATTTCCTCCCGCCTACGACTCAGTGCCCTGGCATAGTTTTTTTATTCTATCCGTAACAGATCCGCTGCATGCGTCCCTTCTTCTTAATATTAATAGTAATGTTCATTCGACGCTCTGGGAAACAATGGGCCCAAGGCTACACAAATATGTATAATACCAAGCCGTTGTTTATCTATAATAATATCTTTCGCTTATAGTTCAGTACACCGAAAACTTGTACAAATGGCAATGGCCGCAATAATTTAATTTTTTACAACCGTGATGTAACGTGTAATGTAAAGAACAGCCAATGCCACGACTAAGCTGTATTGGCATTGTCTTTGAATCGTTTATTATAGAAAATTGTTATCACTTATTAGTATGACTGATTGTTGTCTGCCGTTCGAGTTACGGCCAAATTTGCGACGCCCACGCAGTAGTCAGTAAAATAAAATGTGTGCCAGTAGAGTACATAAATTTGGCGAAACGCATTACTAAAAACAACGTGAATGGGTATGATAATGTTGTTATATGCACGAAGTGTATAAAGAAAGAAAAACAATATTGAAAGTGGATTCGTTTTCTAACGACCGCCGCGCCGTACCGGAACAAACACTGGAGGAATTCGCGGTCGCCGTCACTTTCTTCGTTCCGGTTTCCGCCAACGATAATGAAAACAAAACCTACCGGCAAAACGGTTTCCATATACATACGCGTGTATACATATCCATATGTTAACCTGCCCGACTGTTTAGTATGCCAGTGCACATGCATCATCATAATAATATTGTGTGGTTCCACCACACAGCCCTCTTTGTTTTTAAGCCTAGGGTCAGATATGTTTGGTACACACTCAATTATAATAAACCCTTCTGGAGGTAGGCCCATTGGTGTGTATACATAATCAAACTTACAGACAAGCGGTTTACTACACAGTGTATACCTGTTAGTATACCTGTTTGCGGGGGAAAAGAATTATATGCATTACTTTGTACTACACACTGTAGATATCTTGATGATGTTTTATTATAATAGTTGGGAAGCAGGTGAAAAAGTGGGTCAAGGAGATGATGTGGCAACTGCGCGCACCTCAACCCACTTTCCCTTCCGGTGTCGTATCTGACGCCGGTCAATGGTTATGATTGCTTCGCTGCCTCCTCGGCGATTCGCTTTCGTTCGCACAGAATTGACAGTGAACGTTTATAACTTATAAATCCAAAGCAATATATTAATTAATGACGATGTATGCATCCTTGGTATTCAAATTAAAATTAATGACATAATGATGTTTCTGTGTTGCAGGTAATGAAAAGGACGAAAACATCGACTTCCTAGATCACCTCCGGATACCGGGCGGAACAGCTGTAGGAAATCCATCCGCAGCGGCCGACCACATGCCGCCCAGGCAACAGTTGTCGTTTGCTTTGCCCCACAGTTTTCATCATCACGCCGGTGAGTATACGCAAATTATTTGTAATGTTATATTTACTGTCTAAAAAATGACAAGGGACACAATTGCCCCGCGGTGACCCAATTGTTTAAAAAATAATCGAATGCGATAGTTATTAATCTGGACAATTGTGCGGGCCGTGTTTTTATTTCTTCTCCTCCGTTCCAAAAACAGTGACTTTCTATTGTTTACTCCGATCGTCGACATTTTTCCGTCCGAGACCGGAAGAACCGGCCGTACATCATTCGAAAGTAACTTGTAATTTCACTATTCGGAAGTCAACGTCTAATTAATGTGTGTACCCTCTCGTTATATTAGTTTACTCGTAAGAACTTCACCTATTCGTTCAAGAGCTTATTGGAGATGCGTTACACACATTTAAAGACTTATATACCTTTGCTCAAGTATGAGTAGGATCTACAAGTGGATATTTTTTTTTTGAAAAGTAGACGCTACCGCGTTTTTACTAAAAATTATGTTTGTCTTTTATTTTATTGGTGTAACCGTTCAAAAATACAACGTTACGGAATTATCCCCTTTGTACATATACGTATAATGTAGGTATACATATTTATTCTCATCCGCTAGATTGATTAAAAAATCGTTTCTTTTTTTTTATGATTATTCACACACTTTGGTAACGGCGATATAGGCGTTTTTACAATAAGAAATTCAGCCAGTGGTCATTCCTTATGGGAATCGTCGGTTACGATAGACAGTGGTCAAACCCGTTCGACTGCTGGACGATGGTCAGTATCGATGAGGGATATAATGGTAATAACTATTTTTTCCCTTCCGCCGCCTCTACCACCCCTATGGTCATAGCCGCCGTTTTTTGGTACACGATGTGCACATCACTAGCAACAAGAGGGTATATACAAGCGCATTATAACGTCAATACAACCGGTATACGTTCACCACACTATAGACATACCGGTTTTTCTCCCTGTCGGCAAGTATATAATTCCGCGAATATTTTTAATCAGACCCATATAGTCCAAGACATAATCTTAGTAATAAATTTGAATCTCAAAACTAGATACCTACTACCGAATGTAAATGAACTTTATTGTTGCAACTTCATTCAACTGTTTCTTTTTAGTTGATTGGTTTTAATTAGTTTTAAATTTTACCGAGATGTCACAGAAAACACTCCAATTTAATGTTTTGAATTGTACTCGTATTAATAAATAAAAATTTAGATAATAATTACTGATAATTATATTTTTTAATACAACTTGTAGTTTTAAAGTTGTAAAAATCGTATAGTTTTTTTTTATTGTAAAAGCCTCTTAATACCGAACATAAATGCTTGATTTCTTATTTACGTTAGTAAGTAACGTCTTTTGCAAACTTCTTCAGTCCGGTTACATCGACCCGTATTAGCGGTCAGTTTGGAACGACCTTTGACGTAACGGATATACGAAATTATTATTATTGTGTACTACACAAGGTCCAATCATCGAAATTTTATTTACTACATAAGCTGTTCAGCTGGGTCCAATAAGCGTCACCAGTCGTATAAGGTCTATGGGAAAGGTCAACGGTTCCCTTCTAGTAGTTGTGACCGATGGTCAGTTCGCTTGACCATCATGCCGTTGCCGCCGCCACTACCACCGTCGATAACCATTGCCGTCACCGTGGTCGTTGAATCTCGCCAAAACAGGTTCCCGTTATTATTGTGCATCCCTTCGATTGATACAACCTGTGCACATAACGATATTATATTATAACGATCAAACGACCTCGGGGTACGTTCCTATTATAATCACAAAAACACACGATTTGTTCAAGGCGAATCGCGGACGTTAAAACGTGTTAAAAAAAGCTGTTTTCAAATTGTTATTAATCAAATTGTGTCATTGTCATTCGTCCATGTGTGTACCCGTTTGTCACCTAAAACAATGTGTATCCTCGTCAATACTTATTCGAGACGTTGAAATTAAAAACTAGCTTTCGAAATTTATTTCTGCATGGAATCCCGTGTTGTATGTTCTAAAAAAAGATATTCAATTAGTAGAAAGACTTTTAGAAAACTTATATAGCCGAAGCCATTAAAAGATGTGAATGAGATTGTGTGGGTGAACCCCGGGACTGATTTCCGGCATCGACTTATTTGCATATGCGAAACGCCATGTGTAATATTTATTTAAATTATACAACAGAAAAAATGGCGCTACATTTACTTATACTTCATTCGGTCAATGAATACCTCGTGTAATAATTACAGTCCATTTAAGGTGTGCAAATACTATTATAAACCGCGATGTGCTCTGGCGGAGAGCACTGCCGTCCATGACGTAACCTGCAGCGAACGATGATTATTATTTTTCGCTTTTTTACAAATCACATTTATTAAATCACTTTTTCTCATTTTCTTTTTAGGTCATGTTTATTCGGTTTCGAACGTTTTGTTTACGCCGGGCGTTTCCTGTGCGCAATTTCTTGCGGTTTTGGCAATTTTCACTGCGCTACACACACACACAATATGAAAACAATATATCAGATGCTCTCTAACGTGTATAGCATGACCGAAGATAATAATAATAAAACCACTCGTTGGCATATCCCCGGTACATATTATTGTTTAATAATCTTTATAAATATGTGTGATGTATTGAATTTCTGATACTATGAAATCGGAAAATTATTATTACCATTATTTTGGAAACATCTGTGCCCGCGCGCGCCAGAAGAGTTTTACTTATTGTCCGGTTGTTTTCGCACTAGGTACTTAATATAACCCCATCGGTTGTAAATACGGGCGGCTCGTGCTCCGTTCCTATTATACGCGTGACACGAACACACCATGCGTAATCCTTTCTATGTGCGTTCTGATGATGAAATTGCGCAAAAACCGGTGACACGCGCGACCATCGGGTTTCCACAAAAGTGTCAAAAAATAAAACCCTTTTCGATACTAAATAATTGCGTCAACCCTTTAGAAAGGGTGAAAATGTCCAAAAAGGGGTCCGAAGACAGGTGTGAGTGTTTTTCACATTCAGCTGCGATGCTGTCGAAGGGTTTTATTATTGTTATTATTGCACAACAACCGCTTTGGGGGCAAATACGGGAGAAGAAAGATACGCAAACGGCAGACCATATGTAGGGTTCTCAGGAGACAATAGAAACCGAAAAGAGAAACGGTTCCTCCTAGTACACCCTTTTTGGGTTAGAATTCCGCGTTTTTCGCACAAAAAAAAATATCGTCGAATACAAAAAAATGTTAATGCCTTTCCGTGAAAAAATAAATAAAAGAGTTACGTGCTCAGTTTATCAGCTGCCACGTATCGCAATCACCTTTATTTAATATTATTGGCTTTATTCCCTTTTCATTTTTTTTTGCAGTTTTGTAATAATCCCAAGGATTACGCCTTTCTACACTTTGTATCTGTTCAAAATTGTCTCTGGGGGCCCAAAACGGTTATTTGGCGTTCACGATTATTTTTATTTTTTTTGCTCTTTTCCGGAATGCCGGCACCGGTGGTGCGTTTTAATTTATAAATAGCTAAAGCCGTCGAACCGACGTGGTGCGGAGACGGCAGAGAGAAACTCCCAAGGTCTTGGGGTCAGTGAATTTACGCTTGCCGAACCGGTTTTGCCTTCAGACTCCTTCGTCGGCTGTGACTGTGGTGGTGGCGAACAAGCAGAAGGAGAAGAAGAAGAAGAAGAAGAAGAAGAAGAAGAGGCGTCGTTGTCTGCCTTCTTCCTGCTTTTGTTCATAACGGTCGGCCCCCGTGTGTTATGTACTTCACACACATACGCGCCAAACGATTTTTCCTATGCTGCCTAATTATCAACGGTATTTGTCCTTCCGCCATAATATTGTAAGTGCCGATGGTCGTCAAGGTTTTTTTCTTAGTACCTACATTATGTCTATGGATAACGTTAAAGCAATAATAATGTGACGGCAATAAATAATAATAATCACCCCTCGACACACAGCAATAAAAAAACATTAATAGAGGGACAGTCCGTTGTGTTCTGGTCACATCGTCCGATGACTAATGACCACGTCAACGCTGGGCTACTGTCATCATAACCCAATGCCGCCGTCTCCGACGTGCTTGATATACGTCTTACGGGCTGTTTGATTTACACCTGTAGAAATCATATTTGCATCAGAATAGTTTGTCTGGGGAACAAGTCGTGGAAACGATACCCGTTGACCGTTGTCCATCGGACAATCCGGTCGTCAATCTGCTTCGCCGGTGATTAATCATTGCCGTAAAGGATCAACCCGTTCCCGGAATTAACGGCCGTTCGAGTCATCGCGTACGTGGTAGTTATTCTCACGAAGTCTATGCAACGGTCTTGTAAATTCCAGCGCGAAAAAATAATATTTACATGAAAACCAATGACAGAGGTTGTTCACACTCAAACAAATGACATGCAGTCAAGATTTAACTCTAAACAAAATATTTTGTTTTGTAATTAATTTGATTGTTTACCCGAGAAACCTTCCTCAGCAAAAAAAAAACTTCTGATTGCATTGAGCATTCTAATTTCACTCGAATCGATTCTCGGTATAACTCAATGACGTAGTAACAGTACAGTATAAGTACAATAGTATAATAAATACATATTTATAGATAATTAATTGCTAATCGATTAAAAATGAAAAAAACACTCAAATTCTAAGTTAAGTGCGTAGAATAAAACAAATTTATCTCTTACTTTTAAAATTCAAGCATAATTATTACATTAATAATGAAAGTTAATGAAATATTTTCTAGTTTAAGAATACTAAAAACATAGATTTTTTTTATACATTTTTAACACCGCAAACTTTGTTAATAAGTACACTTGATGAGCTTTAACGCTTTGGCTTGCCAAGTGCAACAATAATTTATTAGAACGGCGATCGTCTCTCGTCACATGATTTTTCTGTATAATGATTATAAAAATATAATGAATTTCTTGTGTCTGTAACACAGCCATGCCCCTCGTTCACAACGTGGGTTTTTGTGTTGAACATGTTTTGCATATTGTTCTTAACTGCTATTATTTTGTATCTTAAAACTAAAATTACATAATATATTTTTTTCAGGTTCTTTACCACCAAGCCCCGCAGACTCCGGTGTGTCCGATGTGGATAGTAGTAGCAGCGGACATACATCCACTGACACTGAGCTCAGGGCCCGGCTTCAACCACACCAGTATCACCATCAAGGTCAGACTGCATTGCTGTTATTATAAACTTTTCTTCCTGTATTTTCTCTGATCTCCTTAATCTTCCATTTAAACCGGTTTGCCGCGTTTTTATTTTTTACAGACATGCTATTCATCGTTCTACAGATGTTGGATTTCCAACATATTGTATTCCCTGTAATTTCACTATATTTTCACGCTATCTTGTCAAACCAATACATAAACTTTTATATCTATTTAAATCCGCTATCGAAGTTATTAATGGTCGTTTGTGAAATTTTTTGTTTTCAGTATCTTCTTGTGGCCGCCGTACCAGTCCAGATCCGCCAACCAACTTAGCACAACAATGTCACCAACAACAACAGCAACAAGATTTGTTCTCCAGAATTTATGGAGCACCATCGTCGGGAGTTTATCATCCAAACCCTGCGCCTTCTTCATCACCATCCAAACATCCACTCTTTATGCGGCAACCCAACCGTAAGTATTTAATTTGCAGCAATAATCATGACAACACATTTTTGCTGCCGTCATACGACTTAGTAACAACATAATATAAAAATTACATTTAATAGGAAAACTTATATTACGCGAAAATAAAAGGAAGTGAGTTGTGACCTTCATTATTTTATCGTTAAAGCGATTTAATTCTTTGAACGATTATTATTTGCATATGCACAATGCCACCAACAGGAAATGTAAGCATTTCATTTATAAATTCGATACGTTAAGTATATTTTGGACGCACGAGAGTACGGTAATTGGTTACTGAGAGATGGCAGGACGTTAGGGGTCGTGCGGTTGGTCAGTAATAATCGTTTTGGCTCAACGCTCGGCGAGTGTGCAGTTGTAGTCTCAATGAACTTTACAGTGTGCATTTCAAAAGCGTAACGGAAGAACAATATCGTTTCCATCGTTGACTTGAATTTATACACTGCAATAACTTACATCTACAAATGTGTGTGCAAAGAAAAATTGGTTGATAGTCGTGATGAAAACGAGTTTGCCAGTGTTACCAACGATAAATCGTGATGAATTTTTTCGTTCTAATATTATCATGAGCATAATAACAAGATATATAAAGTGTTATTATGTTAGATATATTTTTTTCCAAACGTCACTGCGGAAAGGGAGACTTGATACGGTCACGTGACAGTTTTCTGCATCTAACCGCAATCGAGATAGGAATATTGAGCGAGAGAGAGAGAGCAATGACATACTAACACTTCAAGGTTAACTCTCACTCGACCAGCAAATAAAAAACCTAGTCTGTTTGATTATTATCTTTTTTGTGTATTATTTCGCAGTTGTTGAGCGTGCGACCTTTAAAAGTGTAAGAGCGATATGAGCTAACCATTAAAGATTAGTAGTATAGCGATAATCAATAATTATTATTAGAAAACTATTTGATTACAAAACATTATGTTTTTATCGGACTATCGGATATTGCATGAGGAGGACAGTTGAGGTAAAGATTATCATTGGCTTCGACTGTTGCACTTTAATTATAAGAGTGAATGTGTTTTTTAATGGTTCGTGCTCTTGAAAAACAATTTTGAGTGTTGGTACGGCCAGGAAGTGTATTTTTAAGGGCAAAAGGTTAGAAAAAGACGCAGTTGGTAAACGGTTGTCGGCCAAGGCGGCGCTGATAAACCGAATCGCTCAGATAAGACAGTGTTAAACCGATAACGCGGCGATTAACAAAAAGCAGTATTGAAATAATGAAAAACGTGCATAATAATAATATCGAGCCGCGCGCCACCGTTCGAATTTTTTGCCAAAAGAATCGCATAACGTTTGTCGGTTGCGCAACCGTCGACAGCGCCGTGTATTGTTCGGTCGGCCCGTCACGTGTACGCCTCGCTCACTGGTCATGTCCTGAAGGTCGGATGGGTTGTAAGGAGACAAGACTCTCGACGATAATATATTTAAAACGTATACACTCTTACATTGGCAAATTCCGTTCCATCAGATTACCATTGACGTTTCCTCGCCCATCACCACTTCCGCGTACAAATATCGTTATTTTTTTTTTTTTGGTATAGATGATTTTTTTTATTACTCCCACTCGTTTTTTATTTACATCTGTGCGGTAACAAAACTATTGTTGATTTTTTATTTTTCTATGTTATCATTTGAAATAATCATGAACAGTGTTCACTTGGTTGGTTTTGTAATTAATTGTACGAAACCTTTGAAAAATAAATTTTAAGGAAAAAAAAAAATGCCATGGCGTACGAAATAAAAGGTTGCGGTAGCTGAGAAGGAGGAAAGTACGTGACTGTTATACACCTGTAAGGTATCTTACGATACGATAAAACTATAGTGACATCTTTAACCTTCTTAAACTCATTAATTGGCTCAATCGATACAATAACATTGTATACGAAAATTTCTTTGTGGACCATACGCACATACCTTAAAATTACACAAAAAGCATTACTTGCATTATTACAGTGCTGTATATTTAAGCTATTGTGATTGTAATATAATAAGCTTACAAACGTTTATCAAGTTTGTTACTATAACCGTAGTGATTTAATGTCAAAGTTAATTTTTTTTTTATTTCCGCATACATTTATTTAGCAAAACTAGTGCTGTTAGTTGACTCGACATGAATGTATAAAACGCCCGCGCTTAAAATAGATTTCAGTTCAGATATAGTTCGAAAATGGTAGCGGTAAAATGAGGAAACATTTTTTTTTAAAATTTATATACTATTAAGTTCAAGTTCTTGTAATATGATAATTTTTACTGTCATCATGTTTAAATTAATTAATTTATTATTGAATTACTCGCAATGTAATAATAATTTATGATAAAAAATTTGGAAACAAGTTAAAGCTAAAAGACTTAAAAAAAGATTCAATTGTTAATATTACTCATTTTTCTCAATGATAAATTAAAAACTGTTCTGACACTTTGTGATATCGTTTTCCTAATCTCTACATGCAAGCATGTTATTAAAATAGCCTACTTTTGACGTTGGCGGCGCTCGCTAATATCTATATAATATATAGGAGGATTTTTAAAAATGAATCTCAATTTAATATTAAACCAGTATCAAATTACACATTAGTTTTAACTTGAAATTACCTTTATACCAAAACGACGGAAACAGCTAGTTTTATGAACTTATAAAGACGTAATACATATTAGTTAGCAAAAAATTAAGGAGTTTCGAGTATTTATATTAAAAGCCATGTGTTGTTTTTTAGATAATATTACTTAATTTTACTTTTATGTAAACAAATTTTTTATTAAAATACTTATCAGGTATGACAACAATGATATGTAAAGTATCATAATTACTAATGTATTTTTAAAGACATGGTTATAATTCAAAATTGAATTTTTCTAGATCCTTATGGTGGTGTCGCTGGTTACCCTTCGGCTAATGGTTACGGTTCAGTGAGCCCAACCGCTGCTGGCCATTTTGCCATGCCACCTTGTCCGTCAGCTACAGCTCGGGGTTCTGTCATACAGGGGGCGACGGTCAACTGTTATCAGCCAAATGCAGCTAACCTTAATGACCTTTATTACATGGACTTTGGGGCGCCAACAACTGGTGCGGCAGCCGCAGCTGCAGCAGCGGCAGCTATGTACCACCAAAAAGCAAAAAAGAAAGCTAAGAAACAGTACGTCCAGAGGTCGAATGGACTAAGTCCTTTGCCTTGTAGTAATGGTGTACCTCAATCGACATGTCCACCAATAGGTACTGGTCCAAAAAGGAAAAGCCGTGAAGGTAAATAATTGTTAAAACAGGGCGTGATAAACATTGTCAGTTTATATGGATTTAAAATTCATTATAACAATACTTTTAACGTTTATAGGTTCAACTACTTATCTTTGGGAGTTCCTGTTGAAATTACTACAAAATTCGGATTATTGTCCGAGATTCATCAAATGGCTAAACAGAGAAAAAGGTGTTTTTAAGTTGGTCGACTCTAAGGCAGTATCAAAATTGTGGGGTGAACATAAAAACAAACCCGACATGAATTATGAAACAATGGGACGAGCACTTAGGTACATTTTTTTACCAACTTAAATTATTAATTTACATTTTTATAAAAACGTGACACCATTTGATTTTTGATAAATAAATAGAAAAGTTCAAAAAATACCCATTTTTTTTATTTATTATGATTTTGATATAGATCTTGAATTTATTTAATAATGTTTATTTTTTTTTTTAAATATAAAGGTATTACTATCAGAGAGGTATTCTGGCTAAAGTTGATGGCCAAAGATTGGTATACCAATTTGTGGACGTTCCTAAAGACATCATCGAAATCGATTGTTCAGGAGCTTAATATAATAAAGTTATGAAACTATTAGATGTTTATTTTTGAAGTCCGGCAATGGCGACGGCTCTATATTCAATTATAATGCGTTTTACCTCATTGCGTTTTTATTATTTTATGTAAAAAAAAATATAATTAAAATGATCATCATAAAAACCGTTAATTTTAAGAATTATACACTATGTTATGCCCAATTATTATTTATTTATTTATTTATTACAATGATAGTAATAGTAATGATAATAAAAATAGTATGGTTTTTCTTTATCCATAAAGGAAATAAATGAAACATAAAACATGTAGAAGTTCTATAGCAGTTACGAGTTGACATTACAGTGCAAATTATCGACTGTATTACCAGAACACTTACACTTTTTTTGTTTCTCGCACTATTATTATTAAAAATATTATTGGTAGTATTATGCTTTCTATAGTTACAATTATCATCATCATCATTATTGTAGCCATTAAAATCATAAACATTGTAAATTATTATTTATAATATCGTCGTCGCCATGTATGGTGTGAGTTAACTTATGCGTGTAAAGACTGACAATAATAATTGATTTAATTTTCGTTTTAATCGAAAAGTAAAATCTCCCCCCAAAAAATATATTCAATGGTTATTGTTAGTTTGACCGATCTCTATGTTTTTAGTATTTTAATCATACAAATCTCGAAACATGTACAAACATTTTTTATAGTTATGTGTATTATATGAATTTATTAAATGTAACATAAATCGTTTAAATTATATAGAAAAGCGCATTGATTCGAAACAAAAAATTAGATAACCTTATTATTTTATAATATAATATAATATATATAATGTATACATTTATTATGTATAGTTGTTTTTACCATTTTTATTGTAATTATTTTTTGTTTGTTTCGGGAACACGTTTTTCTCTCAATTTGTTTGTTTTATTTTTGTAAGTTAATTAAGTCTCCAATTTGTACATAACCATAATTTATAAGTTAAACTATTAAGATTGTCATAAGTAATTATTTTATTTAATATTTTACGTTGGTGTAAGTTTTTTTAATTATTCTTGTATTTAAAAAAATATGTATACATGATGTATTCTGTAAGCGATTTTTTCAACCATTTTTGTATGCTTCTTTTAAATATTTAAAACGAATTTTGTTTACTATTTTATTACTTTTTTTTATTACTTAATTCTAAGATTTGTTTTAAGTCCATGGTTATCTAAAACCCCAATATGGTACAAAAAAGATAAAAAACGATTAAGTTTAAACTTTTAACTATCAAATCGTAAAAAAAAATTAAATTATTTATACATTTAAAATGTTTGTGAGTAATATTTAAACATATTTATAGGCTCTTGTTGAATGATATTTAATTGTAAAAAGCTCAAATTTATTCTAAAAATAAGATATATTTTATATGTGGATAAAAATTTAAGTATTATTTCAAAAAAAATATGTATGCTGAATTATTATGGATATAAGCGCGTACTACGGGTAAAAACATTTTTTTTATGCTATTCAACTAGATATATTGCTCAAAGAAATATTTCTAACACACCTAAGTTAAAAATTTATAAAATAACAATAATAATAGTTTGTCTTACTCTATTCATAACTAAAAAAAAATCCAACTGTAAAACTTAAATTTTTTTTGAGTACAAACAAATAAACAGACAAATTGGAACAACTGAAATTGAAAATAAATTAATTGTGATTCAATATTATTACAAGCGCCTTTGAAAAATTGTGATTTTAACGATTTATAAATGTTGTGAAGTAAATAGCGAATTATATCTTTTTTTAATTTGTTTTTTTAAATAAATAATTATTCTTTCCTCCCGACGTGAGGACCGCGGAATATGATGTGACGAATGGAATTAAGAGGAATTTATTAGGTAAGATAATATTTAAACATTACCAACCCAGAACTCTAATAATATAATATTTATTAATGATTATGATAATAGTTAATTGCTAATTAAATTTTACTATTTCAAATTTAGTCAGTCATGTTGACATTATTCCGATAGACATTTTGAAAATACTTGTTTTAACACGTTTGTATTTTTATTAAATAAAAAATTTAAACAAATTTAAACGCGAAGAACAAAATTTATTAATTCAACCAATCTTATAATTATAAGCTATATTAATTTTAATTATACTTTAATCAACAGTAATTGTTATTATACCAATTAATATAATTATTGTACCGATAAATTTTAAAGTAAGTTAAGAATAAAAAAACCAGTGTACCTTGTTTCAATTATCTTAAAATATTTATCAGAGTATGTTAATATTCGGTTGTTTAATTTTGCCTCGAGCAGACATAATTTAGCTCAATGTTGTTTTGTAAAAACAAGAAATCAACGATTTAATGATAATAAAGTACCATAAATGTTAAAAATAATAAATGTATGTTTGATTTTTGAATATGAAATATTTTAAAAACTCATTTATAATATGTTATTTGTACGATTTGTACGAATCAATTTATGTAACTTGTGTGAGTGTGTACCTATTTGTCTTTCTTTTACTGTAAAAAAAACGTGTGCTGTGAGTGTATGTTAGATGCAAAAACCTACAAAACGAACAAATATGCAAAATGATATGTCACAAAACATTGTTATGTCAAATTTATTTTATATATAATGATACATAAAAAGATTAAAATAAAAAGATGTTTAAACGTAAACAATGTTTCTACTATATATATTTTTTTGCTAAATAATCATTTCTAATAAAAATTATAACAAATGTATTGCTAAATATCAAAACATTGCAACTCGGTTATTGGAGAAAGTGGGATAGATTTTAACACGAGCATATGTCGCTATATACTATGAACAAGATAGCCAATACATTCGATTATTAATTAGTTTAATATTTTATTTCTTTTATAATTACTCTCGTCATGTAGAAATTTAGTAGGTAAATAAAATTTCTTTTGATCTTCCAAAAAGTGAAAAAATGAGTTGACTGCCTTATGAATTAAATATTTCTAAGATTAAAATATCATTACAGGAATTAATACTTGGCTATGACTACGTGATAAATATTATATATTAGTATTAACATTTGAAAGAATCCAACCCGACATAGATTAAGAGTCCTGCTAGTGATTTTCAAATGACGACTTAAATTTTATAGTACAATAATTATTGTTCTATAAAATATAAGTCATTTGAATTATAATTTGACTTATAATATTGCCTGTCGATTATTTTTATAAATTTCTGGTGCTAAAATTTTAACTTTCGTCTGAATTTTATATAACTTAGTAGGTTACTCGGTTGTAAGAGTGAAAACAACGTATGACGTTTTTGTCGCGTCACTAATTTATTTATCAACGGTGGAACAGTAAAACAAACGATTTTGGAGTAATTCTAGGAAACCTGTAGTGTTCCATATACCTAAGCATTAAGTAATCAATAATCATTGAAACTTGCAACAACGTACATTTTCTGAAGGAATTAGTAATCTAAACAAACTGTAGTTCAGTAGTATTACAGGTGTTTCTAAAATCAGAGTACTCCATACGAGCGAACTTTGATTTTTTGTAATAAAAAACGACTTCTTAAGTCACCATGGATTTCCTATTTATTTTGCTATTACTAATTGAGACGTACGGACCCATTGTGATTAAGCCGTTAATTCAGTAAACCAATATTTTAAAATACACTTTCTAATATCGTAAAATAAATGTTTAATCCAATTTAAACGTTTAAAATGAATACTTATTAAATGTTGTATAAATATTGAATTTTTAATAGTTTAACAAATATTGATTTTTAAATATTTAACAAATGTTGAGTTTTTAAGTGTTTAACCAACATTTGTATAACGTTATTTATTAAACGTATAAACTATATTGTTGCATTAAACCAGGCACGTATATATGGGTGGGCCTGGCCCCCCTTAGATTTAATGTGACCCAGGGCCGGCCTCTCCAAATTTAAAATTCAATTATTTTTACGAATCATCAAAAACGTGCTAGGCCTTATATACATTGAAATTATTATTAATTTGTGATTACTATTGGGTAATACAGTTATTATTATAGCTATATTTTCATTTTTACATTCATAGAAAACGTTATTTGAAAAAGATAACGTCTAGACGTAATAATAAATGGAATAGCAGTTACTCCAAATGTGGTTGTAGGTAAATTTTTTTTAACTCTGGTCCAACAAATGATAACAAACTACCAAGTATCTGCATTGATTAGAATCAAGTTGATTACAAAATTCGATAGAGTAATAATCTATGAAAATTTTTTTGATAAATCTTATCTTTAATCTGTTTCTTTTATATATAATTTAGTAGTTACAATAGGTAATTTATTTGTTTTTATTAATTTGTTATTTGCGTGCTCTAAATAATAGTAATAAAAATATGACTAAAAAAAGGCAGGAATTGTTTTTAATTTTAAATAAAATAAATTTTACATTGTTTATAAATTATATTTATTTTAAAAATTATTTACAACTTATTTGTTATTAGTATTTAGGTATAAATTATTTTTTCTTAATAGCTTAAACGTTGAAAAATTATATCAGCTTATGTTCACATCATTATTTTATTTATTTTTCACAATATGAAAAATTCATTCCGATAGTGAAGATGAAAGTATTTTTTTTTTTTTTTAATTATGGATACTATCAATTTTTTATAATACTGTAATAATTAGTATACTTTATACGAAAACAATTTGTTTTTAACCAAACAATGATAAGATTTTGAACTTGTAAGATTCATAGTATGGTATACTGTCTAAGGAGGAGTGGAAGGAGCCCCCCACAAGCTTTTCATGGGAAACAAATTATGGAGAATAATACAAGGGCCCAAAATTGTTGGCCCCTCCAATAAACATTTTCTGGCTACGTGCCTGCATTATACATAATACAAACGCTGCGTTCTCAATATTTTAAAAATAACTTTCAAATCAATGAGTAAGATCTAATATAAATTCAACATTTATAAAATACAATACTTATTAAATCCTGAACTTTTAAATATTTAACAAACATTGATATAATATTATTTAATATATATTTTAACTATTGTGTTAAATTAACAAATATTCAAACGATATGTCTTCAAAATTTATGAAATAACTGTCAAATAATCTAAATTCAATGTTTCAGATCTAAATTAATTGCAACATATTAAAATAAATGCTTATTAAATGTTTAATTTTTAAAGATTATTAAATGTTTAGTTTTACAATAGTTATTAAATGTTTAGTTTTTAAATTAATGATTAGAAATTAATCAAAATAAAGCATTTCAAAAAAATTAGTATATAGAACGGTCCAATTTAAAAAAAAAATAATAGTAACTCAATAATCGATGTATAATTAACATCTACATAGTTTAGGAAAGCTACTAATGTAGAAATTAATAAAAATAGAGTAATTTAAAAAAATTGAGTATACAGAGTGATCCAAATGTAAAATTTCAATATACAGAGTGATTCAAATGACAGGAAAAAAAATTATAATACAGTAGAAGTCCGATAATCCGGCATCCAACAGTCCGGAATGCCCGATAGTCCGGCATCGCTCCGGAAAATTTTAAACATTTTGGTTTTCTCCAAAAAAATGCCTTTGAAGCAAATACAAACGATCAGGAGCTATTCGGAAGTTTTCAGGGTATTCGGGATCATCCTGACGAATTTACAATAGAGCAGAAAACTAATAACCAAAATATCGTAGTAGTGGACATAGTAGTACTCGGACCGGTCTAATTTTATCATATAAACATATATGACAAAATTAGACCGGTCCAAGTACACTGAACGCGCGCTTAAAATTTGATAACAGGAAGTTAATACACCGTGTAATACGGCCTCAACAGTATTGTTCGGAAACAATTAGCGGCCGGCTAGTCTCAGCTATCACAACAAATACAGGTGCAGTGCAGTACAGTTAATCAATCATGAAGCGTCTTCGCTATTTTTTTGTGCGTTGTTATTTTGTGTCCTTTTACATTGTAATAAACGGTGCTTCAGAAATTATTGATCTCCATAATTATTAGATATAAATTAATTTTATACTAAAGGCCAAATGTCAAGAAAACAAAAAGACATTCGTGACTTTTTTAAATCTAAATGAAATATGTATTACAGTACTTGCACATAAATTATATGAAATGTAAAACAAAATTTTTTGTATTTGCATACTGTATTTTTAGTTTAATTATTAATCTAATTGTTCTTATAGCAAAGCCTACACTGAAAGGAAAGGGCATCGCCCGATAGACCGGAATTTTCGATAGTCCGGCACGGAGCCGAAGAAACAGAGGAAGGAAACTCCTAGACCGATTACTCGGGACGAGGGGTTTCAGGAGAGGAATCAGGAGGAGGAGGAGAAGGAGCAGCTGACAAGAAAACTTCCACTGCGTACCCCAGGTCGTCCATGGTCTCTTCGACCTCCATGGGGGCCGGTCCAGCTGTGGCGGTTGTTGCTGTGGAGCTAGCGGTCCAGACGATCTCCGATAGAGGTGGTGGACGGGTCATTGGCGCGGGCATTGGAGGCGCCGGTGTGATTGGTGGGCGGAGGGCCGCTTCCCTCTCCCTGTCTTTCCTTAAAGGCTTGATTGATGCGCTCCCTCCGACGTACGTACGCACGAGTGGCCCGCGTGTTATCTAACGTTCTCGTCGTCGGTGCGCCCACTAGATTGTCGTCGAGTAACTCTTCGTCAACAGGGGGCCCCGCAGTCGGATAACGTGACAACATGTCCGGTCCTTCGTTTTGTGTCCCGGGTACATGTGTCGTTGTAAAATTCAAATTACCTGATGTAGCGCCCACCTAGTTAATTTTGAATTGTTGTCCTTTGCTCCGTATAGCCAAGTCAACGCGGAATTATCTATAAATAATTCAAACGGAGAATACTCGAAGTACGGGCGAAATTTATCAGTCGCCCATATAATTGCTAAGCATTCTCGCTCTACGGCGGCGTAACGTTTCTGCGTTTTTGATAGTTTCTTACTGGCGTAGGATATGATTCTTCTCTTTCTCGGTTCATCTCCATGTTGAAAGAGTATTGTTCCCACGCCCATTTCACTGGCATCGGTTTGAAGGCAGAAAGTTTTCGCGTAATCAGGAGAACTCAGTCGTGGGAACTCACACAGGGCCCTTTTTACCTGTTCAAAAGCCCTTTGATGGCCTTCCGTCCACAACCATTTCGTCCCCCTTTTTAGTAGGTTTGTCAGCGGCGCTATTGTTTCGGCGTACTTGTCGACGAATTGACAATACCAATTAAATATGCCGAGACATCTACGTAGATACCTGATATTCCGTGGGACCGATAGGACGTGGATGGACTCGAGTTTTTCGGGCTGCTTGTCTATGCCCTCACCGTGTACAATATGGCCCAAAAAGGAAATTTCGGAAAACTCTATTTTACACTTTTTTGTGTGACATGTCAGCCCGTGTCGCTCTAATCGTTCTAAAACTTTGCCTAAATGTTCTAAATGCTTTTCTAAACTACTTGAATAAATAATTATGTCGTCCAAGTAAACTTGGACAAAATCGTCTAGATATTCTCTAAGTATTTCATTCATAATTCTTACAAAAGGCATAGGCGAATTTTTGAGTCCAAATGGTAGTACACGAAATTGAAACAAGCCCCTTTATGTTCTAAATGTCGTAAACTTACGGGTTTTTTATTTAAGGAGCATTACCAATAA